CAGAGAGTCACCCCCCGCCCCATGGGCCCTTCAGAGCCATCTCTGGCCTCGGGTTTCGGGCAAGACTCAGCCTTTGCTCTGGTCACATTTCCTCAAATGCTCCCCTTGTCATGGCCTTGCCCACCGCCGTGTCCTTTTCTGTGGGTGTTTCCACCTCTGCCAGCTGTCTCTCCTCTCTTCTCTGCACTGGTTTCCTCTCCCGACAGCAGGCTTCTCTGCACTTGCCCTAACCCCTTTCTGCCTCCCTCCCTTGGGACCCTCTTCTGATCCTGGGAGGGCCAACAGCGTATGGCAGTTTGAGTCAGCCCTGGAAGTCTTGGCCTGCACCCTCCAGGTCCCTCTACAGAACCCCCAGCCCGAGAACCCAGACCCTTCATTCAGCACAGAGAAGGTGGTGCCTCATCTTGCCAGGCCTGAGGGGCTTGGCGATATGAAGTCACAGGCCCAGGGAGAGTGGTCCACCCCTGTGTTCTCTTTTGGCTCTCCTTACTATAGGAGAAGCCAAGCCTGGAGGCCATGTGGGAGATGAAATGTAACAGGCTGGCTGATCTGGGTGTGAGTCTCCCTTAGCCACATGCTGGCTGTTTTACCTTGGGCAAGTTACTCAGCCTTTCTGAGCCCCAGTTTCCAGCTCTGTAAAATGGAGCCAATAATGCCCATCCAAATAGTGTTCTTGCAAGTATAAAAAGACCAGGAAAGAGAAAGGATCCAGTGAAGTCTAAGACACAAGCAGGATGAGAATAGATTTCAGCATCTTCCCCACTAACTTTCCCCAACAGCCAAGAGAGAGCCTCAGAGAAGTTCCAGCAATGGGCAGGAGTCCAATGCTCCGTCCCCCAGATATGATATGAGGATCCCACACTTCCTGCCAGCTGCTGGGAGTGGGGAGGAGAGAGAGGTGGTCTCTTCCTTCAGGCTGGTGATTTGGGCCCAGTGGCTTCTATCCACCACAGTAGTGGGGCTGCCCTCAACCAGTGCCCATAGTGGCTTAATCTGGGGTGAGAGTGCCTTCCACTTCGTCTGTGGCAAATCAGAGACCCCCCAGCCTGAATCCTTAAGGTGTTAGGGCATTCACCGCCTCATCTGTCGAGTAGGGTTCCCAGACCCTTCTCTGCCTTTGACAATTTGCACCCAGGACAGTGGCAGGTATGGGGGATGGCAGAAACGGTCTGGGCTCTGGGGGTGACGGAATGTTGCAGAATTTTTGCCTTTTGATATGTCCAGCCCTGTGGGGAAATGAAGAGGCTTCAGAACTCCTTCAGTCAAGGGCAGCAGAGTGACGGGGTGATCCCCACCCAGCCTAGCCCTGACAGACAAGGCTATGGCCATGAGGTCCAGGAGGCCCCTGGAGGAGGCAGGGGCATCTGAGGCCTGAGTAAGAGGAAGGGATGGGTTCAAGGCCACACCACCAGAGGTATGACCAGATCAAGAGCCAGGTCCTGGAGGAGGTTGGATGGACACAGGGCACCCTGGGGGGACAGCCAGTGTAGAATTAGAGGGGGGAAGAGCAGGTGGCCCATGGGACACCAGGAGGAGAAGCATGGCTGTTAGGGAGTTCGGAGCTCCCTGATGAAGGGCCACTCCTGCTGGGCCTCACCCTCCAGCTAAAGGCAGCAGGACTCAGAAAGAGGTGCCCAGAGTGACCAAGTGCCCTCCGCATGTTGGGCTCTGGGGTGGTCTTTCAGTAGCTGGTGTCTGGACCCTAAGAAAGCGGGACTGCGAAGGTCATCCATGTTGCCCTCCTTCCCTGTTCCGGGTTCGGTTTACAAACGGGAAGCCCGAGGCCAGGCCTGCCTCCGCAGCCAGAGGGGTGGGAACACGGTGTGTCCTGGCCTCTGTGCCGACCCATCCCCGCAGGCCGGCCAGGGAAAGGTCTGAGAGCAGCTTGCCTTTCACCTCCATGGCCGGAGTTCCTTGGGGCTTGGGAGAGGAAACAGCTCGCTGCCCCACCCGCCCTTTTAGCCAGCTGGCAAGCAGGACTCATGGCCCTCAGGCCTGGCTGTGTGCCCTGGTCTGTGCCCCGGGCCTCTCTGGGCCTCAGTTTCTCCATCTGGAGTGTGCGAGCAGTTGGGTCAGATGTTCTGCTCCTTCCTTTCCACTTGAAGGTGGTGTTGTCTTAAATTGAGGCTAAGGGAAGGGAGCTGGAGCCACCAGGAGGGACAGGCCAGAGCACCCGAGGGAGGCGGGCAGAGGCGGTGAATAGGAAAGCTCTGACTTCGCTTCTCTTCCCAGAGCTGCTCGTAGGACAGAAGCTGTGACCCTCGTGAGGTAGAGGGTGCGGGTGTCCAGCTGCTGGGGAGAAGACAGGCTGCTCGGAGGCCTCTGGCTGTCCAGGGACGCCCGAGGGGTCACCCGTGGGCAGGGCAGTGTGGCCACAAGGCAGGGGAGAGGCTGTTCAGGGTGTAATTAATGCACTTTTTGGCACCCACCAGACTTCCCCTTCCTCTTGACAGTTTGCTGCCAAAACAGTCCCGATTCCTGTGAACTTGCTTAAATCTTATACAGAAAAAAAAAAAAAAAGAAGAAGAAGAAGAAAAAAGAAAAGAGAGAACGGGGGGAAAAAATGAAGAGGGCTGTTATTTGTGAAATTGCATTTCCCAGCCATGAGGGTGAGTCACACCATTTGGAGTTGGGAGTTTCTTTTCTGGATGAACTTTTCTCCAGGAGGCTGTGGTGGTGCTGCCCTCCCTCAGGCCTGTTTGGGTGAGGAGAAACTTCCACTCAAGCTAAGGAGAGACCTGGGTGTTTGGAAAGGCCAGGTAGAGCTGGGCCCTCTGGACATACTGCCCCAGGGAGCTTGAACGTGCAGTTCTGGGCTGGGAGAAGGGGGAGCAGTGATTTAGTGCGTCAGGGGGAGACAGTTTCGGTTTAGAACGATGAAAAAGTACCAGAAGTGGGTGGTGGTGGTTGGTGGTCGCAAAGTCATGGGCATGTACTTAGTGCCACAGAACCGTACGCTAAAAAACAGAACTAAAATGGCCGATTCTCTGTAATGAATTTCTTACCACAGTAAAGCTGTAGGCTCCAGGCTCTTGGTGCCAGGTGACTACTTTGGTAGGTAGGTCTGAGGTGGGGCCAAGAAAACCGTATTGGTTCAAAGTTTCTCAAGGCACTCAATACAAGGTTGGACACACTTGCCTCATCTGTAAAATGGGACCACAGGTTGTGGTGAGCGTCGGCTGTCTTAATAAGTGTACAGTTTCCAGCCCCTGGGACACTGTAATTGCTGAGTAGATGGGACTGGGATCAAATCCTGTGGACACTGGACCCCTCTCCACACCCCTTGTCCAGAACCGTTGGTTGTCCAGAACCATCTCACACACCTGCGGGTATGGGAGACCCTCTGCCTCTCAGGATGGACCACTCTCTCGGCTCATCTGAGAGCTGGATAATCACCCTCACAGTGAAGGCAAGGTGTGGTATTTTGTACTGGTCCTGGGTTTCATGATAGCCCTGGGCAGTGGTAGAGCAGAGATGGTCCTCAGGAGCCTTTGAGTCCCATGCCCAGACATCATAGGCTGACTGACTGGGTGTTTGGCCTGGATGCCTTTTGGACGTGGTCCCTGCATCTTTTTTCCTAGGCTCCAGTCTAAACCTATAGGAGCAGGAACCACGGCCCAGAGAGGGAAAGGACTGGCCCCAGGCCACAGAGCAGGGTGTCCAGCGGACCAAGAAGAGTGGTGGTCCCCAGATGGTGAGGGCTGTGTCCTCTAGGAGGTAATGCCAGGCCCCCAGAAATGGAACAAGTGGGGAGGCTGAGGTATACAATTGTGAGGAGTGGCATCTGTCCTGGTTTGGGGAGAGGTGCCTGATCTCCAGGGGCCTGCTCTCTGCTCCCTTCCCTCCCTGCCCACACGGAAGGGACACAGGAGGGACTGTGCCCACTCTGAGCCTCCATCTGCCCTGTCTTCATAAGGGAGCCTGAGGCCACCTCTTCTTAGGGGCTGTCTTCCTCTAGAGGCCTGGGGACTTCCAGAAACAAGGCTGTCTTCCCATTAGATCCAAGGCTCACCAAGGTCTGTGGTTCCCTCCTGGAATCCTTAAGCACCTGAGCGGGGACCAGAGGATGCCCAGGCCTCATGCCCAGGTTTGTCGTTGACCCTCCTGGAGGAGCTGCCTCTTTACAGCCTTGGCCTTGCCCCAGGAGAAGGGGACCATGGCTGTTCCCTGCCAACCTCACCACAGGCCCCACCTTTGCTAAATTCCAGTGTGCCTGGCTGCCCAGAGCCTGTGACTCCTATAAATAGAGGCTGTATACACCAGGAGGGGGCCTGGGCCGCGTCTGCTTTAAAGCCAGGCAAGACATCTGGTTCCTGTCAGCTGGAGGTGGGAGAGGTGGGAGAGGTGGGCCACTTCCTCCTGGGCTCACAGAGGGAAGGCCTGGGCCAGCCTCGGGGCTCCCCGGACACAGTCTGCACAGCCCTCATGCCACAGGAGACCGGGCAGAGCGCTAAACCTCAGTCTTCTCTTCTGTACGATGGAAACAATCCTGTACGCTGATACCCCTCTTTCTTGTAAGATGGGAAACTGAGTCAGCTGAGCGATAAGTGACTTGTTTAAAGCACTAGTAAATGGCAAAGCCCCAGATCCAACAGGTTGCTTTCTGCTATGCCTGCTTACCTCCTGGGAATGTGTAAAGAACTAATGAGAACCGTCCTCCTCCTCCTCCTCACTTCTTACTGAGTGGTTCCTCAGTGCCAGGTGGGAGATACAGTGACCTCACTTGAGCCTCCTAGGAACCCTAGGAGGTGGCTCTCATTACTCCTGTTTTCCAGACAGGGCCCCAGGGGCCCGGAGCCGTTCACTGGCTTGCCTGTGGATGCACAGCAGGAGTTAGGATATGAACTGGGGCTCTAGGGGGCCAGAGCTCCCGGGCAGCTAGAGATTGTGCATTCACGAGTGTGCATGCATGTGCTCGTGGACATGTGCCCATGAGGCCATAGCTGCAAACAAGCGTGCCCAGGCCCCGGGAGCCCTCACATCTCTGTCCCTCCTCCCAGGCTCTGAGCAGCAGCGTGTACAAGAGCGCCTCGCCCTATGGCTCCCTCAACAACATCGCTGATGGCCTCAGCTCCCTCACTGAGCATTTCTCAGACCTGACCCTCACCTCTGAGACCCGCAAGCCCAGCAAGCGGCCCCCACCCAACTACCTGTGCCACCTGTGCTTCAACAAAGGACACTACATCAAGGACTGCCCCCAGGTAAGGCACCCCGCTTCTCTGGATAGAACAGGCCGAGCGGCCCCACCTCCCCCCTCCCCTACCTCCCTGCCCTCAGGGCCCCTTCCACCAACAAGTGGCCCTGTGCCCTCTGGTCTCCACCTTCCCCTCCTCTCTGGTATTTCTGAGGCACTGGCTGGCATGGATGAGACAGAGCCCCAGCCTGGGCCTGCCCTGGCTAGTGAGCAATCCGGGTGAGGGCCCCCAAATGAGGTTCCGGGCCTTCACGTCTCTGCCAGTCTTCCTGCCAGGGTGGGTCCTGTTACAGTGGGGCAGGACGGGGGCCAGCAGCCTCCTCGCAGCTCTCCCGAGAGAGACCCCATCTCCTCACACTCACAGGGAAAGAATGCGGGCTCTGGGCCAGGAATCCAGATGTGCACCCCCTCCCCCAGACCCCACCTCTCCCTCCTCCGCAGCAGTGTTTCCTCAGTCTCCTGCCTGTAAGGGGGGAGGGGAAAGGGCCTTGCCCCTGACTTTGTGCCCCCCCCCCCCATAGGGTAGGTCTGGGTGAAGGCCTCGGGCACTGCAGGCTGGGCCTCTCTCTCAGTGTGGGAAGGGGGCCAGGCGATGGAGAGTGTGGGGAGCAGCCCCGTCTCCCACCCAGTGCTTCGCTGTGCTGGGCTAGGGCTCCTGGGGGCAGATCCCACTTGCAGAATGACTCCTGACTCTGGCCAACTGGGCTCTGGCAGCCTGGGGAGAGAGGGTAAGGTCGTTTCCAATACAGTACGAGATGGATCCGTGATTCTTTTCCCTATTATTTTTTCAAAATTTCTAATGTTTTTGTAATGTGTGTTTTTTGCTTCTATTTTACATATGTAATGGAAATGGGATCCTGGAAACTCAGAAAATCCATGTAGTCTTACCCTCCAGATGGTGGGAGCCCAGGGTGTGGCTGGGTGGGCCTGGGTGCCTCCAGACGCATGGAGGCCGAGATGTGCTTGCTGCTTGTGGCTCTTTTCAGGAATAGCTGTGCCGTGCTTTAGGTCCTCGCTGCGTGAAGTGTGGCCAGGATAGCTGCCTGGGAGCTTGTCAGAAATGCAGTCTTAGGCCCAGCCTGTAATTGCATTTTTGTAGAAGTCCCGGGACCTGTGTATACCGGTGATCTCAGCCTCCTCCGACCCTTGGTCAAGAGAAGCCCACCCCTGACCCTGAGTGTGGGAGCTGGCCCACTGATGGCTGTTCTCTAGACCCCACACTCCAGTGGGCGCTGTCCGCCCTCAGTATATGCAGGAAGCCAGGGGCCCTTGGGATGAGGAGGTCCCAGCACAGGGTAAGACCCATACCTCCCCAGGGGTTCTCCAGACAGGATGAGGAGCAAGCAGGCGACTCAGGATCCCGTTGGTCCTCAAGGATGTGCCCCCGGCCCACCCTGGCAGCAGCCCCTTGCACCTTCCCCAGCTGAGCCTCTGTGAGGGGACTTTCAGTCACTTACCATACCTTGGAAACTTCCCTCATTGTCTCCTGCCTGCAGCCCGGGCTCACAATTAGCCGAAGTGTCAAGTCTCTCATTAGCATCTCGTTACGTGATGCTTTGAGTGAGTTAAGCACTCACACGGGATCATTGAGCCAGTCTGTGGAGGTCCTGGAATTTCAACCCTGGCCAGCAGGTGACATTCAGACACCAACAGAGGCCCCTGGGGCTCCGAGGAGGTGGGCCATGCTGAGCTGGAGGTCTGGGAAAGCTTCCAGGAGAAGGAGAACTTGAGGGGGCTTGGCTGGTTGTTGGAAGAAGGGTGAGCAGTATCCAAAGGCAAGGGATGTTGAGGCAGCAGTGGAGGGACGGTGAAGGCGTGCAAGTGAGTGTGTGTGCATGCCCAGCCCTCTTTCCAGAGGGGCCAGGGCTCTCCTAAATGTGGGGACAGAAGGTCCCCGACCTCAGTGCCTCTCGACTTCTAGCACCGTGCAAACCCTGGTTCTTCCTTTATATTCTTTTATATGGATTACATAGCGAGTACTCTCGTGCAGGGCTCTTACCTCTTCTGCAGAAGGAATACTGGCCCATTTTACAGGTGAAGAAACAGAGTCTCAGAGAGCTGAAGTGCTGGAGAGAGGGCAGAGTGTCTATGAGAGCCCCAGGCTTGGGACCTCAGTGCTCTTTGCTTTCTTGAGCATCCATACCGATCCAGGCTGAGATGCCCATGACCTCTGGGGCCTCAGTTTCCCTCTCGAGCTGGTAGAGGCCCTCTTCGAGCTCTACCTCAAACCTGATTCTATCAGAGACTCCTGCAGGCCCAGGGACCTCCTCTACCAGTCATGAGTAGAGTTCACAGTTCATCATCTGTGAAACAAAGCTAATGAGAGTGCTAACACAGAGTAACGTGAAGATCCAAGGAAGTAATGCATGGAAGGTACTTAACGCAGTGTCTGGCATACAGTAAGCACTTAATAAATGTTGGCTAGCATTATATTTTTTCCTCCTTTGGGTAACGATGGGGAGTGTGCCTATTTGGCAAGGTACTAGAGATTTTGGCAGGCTGGAATATAATTAGATGCTCTCCACCCTCACCTGACCACAAACTTCAGGGGCAGGTGCTGGGCTGGATTCATCTCTGTATCCCCCTGCTGGACCAAGATACCCCACACAGCAGATGCTCAGTGTAAGCCTTCTGGAATGAAGGAATGGGCAGACAGGCTTTTATAAGCCTGGAAACCTCTGTTTCAAATGAAATATTATGAGCTCAGTGTATAGAATATTTAGAAGTGGAGTGGGAGTGCTTGTTTTGGTAACACCTTTAGTGAGACAGAATCCACATACCATATAATTGACTCATTTAAAGTGTAGAAGTCAGTGACTTTTAGTATATGCAGAGCTGCTCAACCATTACCATGACCTATTATAGAACATTTTTTAAAAAAGATTTTATTTATTGAGGTAGTCTCTACACCCCATGTGGGGCTTGAACTCATGACCCTGAGATCAAGAGTTGCATGCTCTACTGACTGAGCCAGCCAAGTGCCCCAATTGTAGAACACTTTTATCACCTCAAAGAGAAACCTCATAAGCTTTAGCTGTCACTAGCCCCTGGCTCCCCAACTCCTAGGAACCCGTAATCTACTTTCTATCTCTATACATTTGCCTGTTCTGGACATCTCCTATAGATAGAATCATCTAATATGTGGTCTTTTGTCACTGGTTTTTTTCACTTAGTATATTGCTCTCAAGGTTCATGCACATAGTAGCATTTATCAGTTCCATGGTTTGGGAAGTGTTCTATCCTGTTCTATTTTCTATAAGAGATTGTGAAGAATTAATATTAATTCTTCTTTAGGGGCACCTGGGTGGCTCAGTCTCTTGAGAGTCTGCCCAGGACCCTGGGATCATGGGATCAAGTCCCACATAGGGCTTCCTGCTCAGTGGGGGAGGCTGCTTGCTTCTCCCTCTGCCTCCCTCATGCTCTCTCTCTCTCTCTCTCTCTCTCTCTTAAATAAATAAATATAACCTTTACAAAATTTCTTCTTTAAATGTTTAGTAGAATTCACCCATGAAGCCATATGAACTTGGGCTTTCTTTTGTGGGTAAATTCAGATTTTCTATTTCTTCTAGAGTTAGTTTCTGTAGTTTGTGTGTTTTGTGGAATTTGTCTGTTTCATCTAAGTTATCAAATGTAGTGGCATAGGGTTGTTTGTAATGTTCTCTTACGATCGCTTTCGTTTCTGCAAGGTCAGTTATAATGTCCCCCTCTTTTCTTTCTGATTCTTATAACTTGAGTCTTCTCTCTTTTTTTCCTTGGTCAATCTAGCTAAAGGTTTGTCCATTTTGTTGAACTTTTCACAGGAACAACTTTTGGTTTAGTTGACTTCCTGTACTGTTTTTCTGTTCTCTGTTACATTAATTTCCACTCGAATCTTTTAAAAACTTATGGTAAAATATATGGAACATGAAATTTACCATCTTAATTATTCTTACATGTATAATTCAGTGGTATTAAGAACAGTTGACCCTTGAACCACATCGGTTTGAATGTATACATGGATTTTTTTTTCAGTGAATAATACAATACAGTACAATAACTATTTTCTCTTCTTCATGATTTTCTTAATAGCATTCTCCTTTCTCTAGCAAACTTTATTTATATAGTATAGAATACATGTAACATGCAAAATATGGGTTACTTGACTATTTAAGTTATTGATAAGGCTGTTAGTAGTTAAGTTTTCGGGGAGTCAAGAGTTACACACCGATTTTTTTTTTAAACAACACTTTCTTCTTCTTTTTTTTTTTTAAAGATTTTATTTATTTATTTGACAGAGAGAGATCACAAGTAGGCAGAGAGGCAGGCAGAGAGAGAGGAGGCAGGCTCCCCACGGAGCAGAGAGCCCAATGTGGGACTTGATCCCAGGACCCCGAGATCACGACCTGAGCTGAAGGCAGAGGCTTAACCCACTGAGCCACCCAGGCACCCTACACACAGATTTCTGACTGCTCCAGGGCTTGGCACCTCAGCCTCCACATGGTTCAAGGGTCAACTATACATTCACAGTATTGGACAACCATCACTATCCACCACCAACCATCACCATCCATCCATCTGTAGAACTCTCATTTTTGTGTGTGAAACTCTGTACCCATTAAGCAACAACCCCCTTACTTTCCCCAGCCCCTGGCAACTACCATTCTACTTTCCGTTGCTATGAATTTCATTACTCTAAGGACCCCGTAGAAGTGGAATTACATAGTATTTGTCATTTTGTGATTGGCTTATTTCACTTAGCATAATGTCCTCAAGGTTCGTTCATATTGTAACAAGTTTCAAAAGTTCCTTTCTTTTTTAAGGCCAAATAATATTCCTCTGTGTGTGTGTGTGTGTGTGTGTGTGTGTGTGTGTGTGTGTAGACCACATTTTGTTAATCTAATTATCCGTCAATGGATAACTGGATTGCTTCCTCCTTTTGGCTACTGCGAACACCACTGCTATGAACATGGGTGTGCAGATAGCTTTTTGAGTCTCTGCTTTCAATTCTTCATTCTAATCTTTATCGTT